CGTATTGGCTAGCAGCCTTGTCTTCAAACCAAACGACTCGAGAAGAGGCTAATAGGTTACCTTCTCTTAACCCGGTCAAGGCCCAAGTCTGGGATCTCCAAACTGATCCAAAGATTAAGGTCTTTTTGTGGAAGATACTTAGTGGAGCATTACCGGTGGCTACTGCCTTGATTTCTAGAGGTATGAGGACTGACAATCTGTGTCAAATCTGTGGAGAGGAAGATGAATCCATAAACCATGTTCTCTTCACTTGTTCATGGGCTAGACAAGTTTGGGCGCTCTCTGGAATTCCTTCTCCTGTGGAAGGCTTTCAAAATGGTTCTGTTTTTTCAAATGTTTATTACCTGTTGCAGAACCAAAGGAATGTCAACTGGCCTGAAGAGTTTAAAAGAACGTTTCCATGAACTCTTTGGCGGATTTGGAAGAATAGGAACCTGGTATCCTTTGAAGCCAAAACATTCTCTCCAATAGAAACTGTTCAAAAAAGCTGTGAGGATTGGAAAGAATGGGCAGAGGCGCAAGTAGTAGAGGAAGAGGATGAGAATGGTGGGAGTAGTGATGATCAGCCAAGGCGGGTTTCCCAAAACTGTGGAACTGATCATTTGTTGAAAAGGTGGAAGAGACCACCTAAAGAGTGGTTGAAATGTAACGTTGGTGTCTCTTGGTCCAGTAGAAACAGATTGGCTGGGGCGTCGTGGGTTTTAAGAGACTATGAAGGCAATGTGGTGCTTCATAGTCGTTGTGCTCTTGTTTCGGTGATGGACAAAAAAGATGCTCAGTTTAAAGCATTGATATGGGCAATTGAGAGTATGAAGTCCCATAGAGTGGAGAAGGTGGTTTTTGGTCTGGAGGATGCATGTTTAGTAAAGGTTCTTGCTAAACCAAGTGTGTGGCCTTCTTTTAGATTTCAGTCAATGGAGGTGGGTCGTCTTAGAGGATCGTTTAGGGACTGGAAATTCTTTTTGGAAAACTCATTTTCAAACAGAGGGGCGTTCTTTATCGCGCAAAGTGTTACCAGTGATTGCAGGCTTCAATCTTATGTGGATAGGGGCCATCCTTCTTGGTTGCGAGGTTTATTTGCCGAGGAAATGGTTTCTTCCTCTGTTTGAATTTTAGTTTTTATCTAACTATGCTCTTTGTTTGGAGCTGCATTTTTTGGATACCTCTCTCGTTGTGTTGAGATGGTTAGTTAGTAGTTGCAGGTTTTTTGGTTTAGGCTCAGCACTTGTTTTGTGGTGTCTGACTTTCTGGGTTGTAATCGTTGGTTTAATTCCATCAATATAATACCAGTCGACAAAAAAAAAAAAATATGAAAATTGTTTCTTAAGTCTAACCTTTTGTTTATGATTTAAACAGTGTAAATGTGGACCATAATGATTTATATAAATGTCAAATGAAATGGTTAAGCAAATTAACGAGACTTCGGGGTAAGGGAAAGTGGTTGGATGGAGCGGGTAGGCTATGTCGATCACGTGACTTCCCGAGCTTTCCATTTCAAATATTTACAATTTGTAATTTCATTTTTTTTTTCTTATTTGTAAACAAAAGAAGCATATATATATTGCAATGTGTTTCTAAAATATGTACATATATATACATGGATTATTTTTCCTCCCTGAAAGTGGTCAGTTTAATCTTTTTTTTGTTACGAGCTACTCCTATATTGTTTCCTGCTTCGTTTTTAGCCTCCGAGAGACTACAAGTGGTTTGGAAGCTGATACCACACCAAAGTGGTATGTCTGACAGTTTATAGCATTGTACTTAAAAGAATGTACTATCCAAAGATTTGCATTATGTTCCAAAAAGGAATGACCTGTATTTTATTATAAAACTATCTGATCGAAAGATATTTTCATACTATCATATAATCTGTAACCATAAAAATTGAATGGAAAATTTGTATAGGGTTTTTGGTTCGTGAAATTGAGAGAAACAAAAGAAAAAAGGAAACCTAATAATTTTTAAATTTTAGTAAGAGTGTTATAGACGAGCCAGATATATCATATGTACAGTAGCTCAGTATATGGCAAACTCTAGTGCTAATCCCAACCAACGGTCAACGAGTAATATTCTTCAGAAATAACAGTTGCATAGAATTATCCAATCCGTTATGACGATTAATTTAATGAGTACAATACTCAATCTAGGTTGTAACAATTATTATCATCTGACATTGTCGCTACCTTTTTCCTCGATGTATATAAATGTTTAGAACGATAGCAGCTTCTTGAACGTAAAATACTTTACTTTACACGATACTAAATAAAAAAAAAGCCAGAGAGAGAAATTATACTAATAGACTAACTAATAAATTAAAATTGTAATATTTCCTTTTTTGAAATACAAAAAAAAAATGACGATACCGCACGTCGACTACGTGATTTTGATCTTCGAGTGTTGAAGCACAATAATTAATCCTACAAATACAGAATCCTAGTGTCATTAAAGAGTTTGATTCTTTTTTGGTAAGAAACAGGGAGAAAAACTATCTCCCAGTATTTATTATAAATAAAAAATTACGCTACAACTTGTCTCGAGTAAACAGACCCAAGTTTATCATCTCTAAAAATCGGAGCTAACTCCACTGGTACAAAATCAAAAATATGAAAACCTAATGATAAAGAATAAACATGGTTAGCTAAACCATCCGCTAGGCGATTAGCCTCTCGATACACATGCGAAATTCGGACTGACCAGTCCTTTTTGAATAAGAGTTTGATTAGTAAAGAAGACTTTTTTATTTATATTTTGTTTTGGGTTAAGAAAAGGTTTTGATTTTATTATCTACTAAAATTCGTAAAATTGGAATAGTCATTTACGGAATATGATGTGATGTTACCGAGTCAAACTTCGGTTATAGTCAACCATTTAAGCCGTCAAATAAGGACTCCTCCTCATTTAATCGCGTTTGGTTTACAAAAATAAAAAACAACGATTATAAATTTACCATGAATATGAATTCCAAAAAGTCATACCATTTTGAGCATTAGCCAGTTAACAGCAAAAATACAATATTAAACGATGAGTTTAACGATTTGCATAGACCGAAAGCTGATATACGCAGGACTGGATATACGTTTACAAAATATATAGACTCATGCAGAGAAGAGATATCAATCTAAAGAGTAAAAGATCACTGGAAAACAGAAGACAGAACTTGTAGCTCGTTTGGTTTGAGGGGTTAGACTTTTGCTCCATCTCATGAGTTCAAGTCAACATATCAAAGAGAAGAAAGAAGATAGTACGAAAGACTTAAGATCAAGTCGCTAAAATAACGAAAGACGATATTATAATGATAACGACATGGTTTGATTACATAAAATTTTAGGATTCTTCAGTTCTAAATAATTTAGAAACTAAAATACTAAGAAAGAGACAAGGCCACATGTCGCGTGTCCATGAAACACTACACAATGGTATCACTTGCGGTCGGTTTGGTCCATTCATTAATGCGTTAGTTTGCAGCGTTCCCTCCCATCCTACAATTTTAAAGTTATAAACCGATTCGAACGGTTTCAAATCAATTCCATGTATAACCTTTTAAAAAAAGATTCGGAATGTAAAGGTATCAAAAAGTATATGCAAAACAGACTTTTATAACGCAGAGAATTGAATTGAAATGGTAAAATTTAAACTGAAAAAAGAGTACAATACAACTGAGATTTTGACCTAATCAGTTACTAAGAACTTAACCGAGACTCCTAGCTAGAATGAAAAAAAAAAAAACTACGGTAACAAAGAAGTAAAAATGCTAAAAAAATATATAATGAAAGTACTGATATACAAGAAACAAGTCAATGAGAAACTAACTTGGGGCTAACAACTGAAACCGGTTCGGGATCTCTAAATCTCTGCTCTAATTAAAGGCCCTATTTCTTCAAAAACTTGGTACAGCTTGTGGGGACTGAACCAGCTGGTTTAAACCGGTCTCGCTGTCACTGGTTGGCTCCTTCTTCCGCCTCATCTCCATGACTTTCCGGTGGTGGTTGGAGTGGAGCTCACTCGAGAATGTCGGGCTACAAGCGGGTCTGTATTCAGGAAGTAACCGACCCGACTTATACCGGACACCGCACGCGTTGCACAGGGTCTTGGCTCCCATTGGCCCGGCTCTCCACTGCGGAGTTTTCTGAACGCCGCAGTGGCTGCACCTCCGCTGAGGTTGCAGCTGCCCGCAGAAAGCTGACTCGGCCGACCTTTTCTTATGCTTCTTGGGAAACGGTGGCCTCTCGGAGGCGACCATTGGTTCGAACAGGTCAGCGCCGGAGAACCAGGGGCTGGAAGGACCAGAAGAGGAGGAGGAGGAGGAGGTCGAACCGGAGGAAGAAGGACCCGAAGAGGACGAAGAACCAAGTGACCAGGCCTTGACTCCGTTGCGGTGACGTTTGCTACGGGCTTTAGCCGGAACAGGGGATTTGAAACAGGACTCTTGGGTGGCAGGAGTGACAGGGTGTTTCCGGTCCCCAGTTAACCAGGCGGGTTTCTCAGTCGGGGTTCCGGTGAGGTTTGGACCCGAGTATTCCGTGAAGGAGTCCTCCACGAAATGAGATAGCCACTCGAGGTTGGCTAAATCATCAGCCTTTACCAAGAAAAAATCCAGAGAGAAATCTCAATAAAAAATAAAATAAAAAAAGGGAAAAAAATAACTTAAAGATTGTCTCGAAATAGTGTAAGACGAGTATACCGGAACAGAGAGTTCGCTTGTAGGGAGAGAGCCGGAGAAATCGATGCAACGAGGGAGAGCGTCTCCGTCGTCGTTGAGTTCCTCCTCCTCTTCCTCCTCCTCCTCCTCAGAGGAAACACGGACCATGACAGGGTCTTGAGGCTTGAGGTCAGTATCGTCGTCGGCGAAAACGTCGTCGTTTGACAAGTCAAGCAAGTCGTCAACGGAGAAATCGTCGGGGGAAAAACCATTCTGAGCGGTGGTGACGGAAAGATAATCTTCGTAAACCGGAAGAGTCGATTTGAAAGCCATCTCTTTCCTGATGCTGCTCTTCAACGCTGCTTGCTCCATTTTAACTATCGAAAGAAACCTACACAACAACAACAACAACAACAAGAAAAAAAGAAAGAAAAAGAATTCAATCAATCTCCGATATCGAATAAATTCACATTCTTTTTCAAACGAAACGTAGAAAAAACGTTCCTTTTTTTTTCCCAATTCCAAGAGAGAGAGAGAAAGAAATAAAGTAATAAAAATTTATAAAAATAATTACGAAGCCCAACCAAAAAAAAGGAAAATCTGACCGGAAAACACAAAAACGAAAACGAGACACAAGGAGAGAGAGTCAGTCACGAGAGTGAAATGAAGGAAGCAAATTCAAGAAGCAAGAAGAGAGACATACGAAACCCTTTGATAGAAAACCCTAAAAAAACCAAGTAAAAAAGAGGAGAGGAATAGGGGAAAGAAGTACCAGAGAGAATAGGAAGGGACGACGAGAGAGAGAAGGAGGAGGAGGAGGAGGAGGAGGAGCGGTGGCGAGAAGAAGAAGAAGAAGAAGAAGAAAGAGAGAGATATAACCCCCAAAAGGGAAAAAAGAGGGTCAAGAGAGAGATGGTTTATGTGAAGTTTGGTAAAGCATTCAATTTGGAAATCTCAGCCTCTCCCTTCCTTTTGGTCTCTCTACTTAAAAATAAAACTCCTCCTTTTCTTATCTCTCTCTCTCAAGAGAGAGACAACGCTTTTTTACTCCAATCTCTTTTTCTCTTTTCTTTTTATTTTTTTTTATACATTTTATATATATAAGAAATGGGGGCAAAAAGTATTTTACGAAGAATAGGAAATTACAGAACCGGCAATAAATCTTTTTTAAAAAAATTGTATCCGGTAGATTATGTGTATAAATTCTTACGCGTATTTACGTTAAATGAATAAAAAAAAAAAGAAACACACAAGATTACAAGACAAAAAAAAACGGCACTGTTCATTGTTATTATTACAGAAAGTAAAAGTAAATAAGATCTTTCTTAACGAGTCAGACAGATAGATAGAGAGAGTCTTTGTGTATCTGCTCTGCTGGCTGACTGGCAATTTCTTATTTCTTTTCCTTTTCGTGTAATAATAATAATTCCTTTTATTTTGGATTATATAAAACAGACTCGTTTTCTTATAGTATTTCTTTGTAAGTATTTTTTGCTTCTAAAAGGATTTTTTTTTAAAAAAAAAAAGGGTAAATTCCAAGAAAGCCCTTGAGACCGCATTGATCGCCGCTCATCTTGGGGGAATTATGCTTCCCGCTCATTTGGGTTTTGATTTCTCACACTTTTGAGTTTATAACTTTTTTATATATTTTTGGTTTGAAATGAAATGCGCCCCCCCCTCCCCCCAACGAATGAGTATAGTGCTATTATCTAAGAGAGAGAGAGAGAGAGAGTGAATATGATTAAGATGGTGGAGGGGGATTAAAAGACGAGAGTAACCCACAACACAAAATTTAAAAAAGAAAAGAAGAAGAGTAAGTAATAGTGAGGGGGGGGGGGGGGGGAAAGGCATGTCTTCGGAGTAAAGGCAAAGTGAGAAACTCTGAGAGACTGAGAGAGAGAGATGATGATAATGGCAGCAGCAGAAACCCCCTCTCACTCTCTCTCTCAAAGACTACTAATGGCGGGTCCAGACTCCAGAGCCCTTTTTTCTTTTTTTTGGCCCACGAGAAAATGATTCTGCCCCTCTCCCTCTCCTCTCTCACATTATCCTTCGTGTTTTTTTCTTTAAACCACCTCCAAAAACATTAAATCATTATTCTTCTTCATATAAACTAAACTAATCTACGATGATATAACACCCAAAAATAATTGTATTACAATTAAAATTCAGTGTAGATTCCTCCCTCCCTCCTTTTTTCTGTATTCAAATAATCTGCTGCGTGTAGTTTCTCTTCTTCTACTAATCTTTTTTTACTAGACTAGTTTATTTTTTGGCATATTTAAATCTCTCACCAAATATTAATTGTCTTTACTTACTTTTGGTTGAACCATCTTTTTTTTTTTTTGGCATTTTGCATGTATTAAACTGGCAATATAGAGCAATGGATATCTCCCCCATATGTGGAATTAACAAATAGTGCGTCATATGATAATTATAAATAACATCCATACAAAATACATCGTTTTAAGTTTCAATATCAAATTTGGTAATTGGCAATACTTTTTTCTTTCTTTCCAAATGATGAATATATAACTTTTTAAAAAGGGAAATGTTAATTTCAGAATTAAAAAGGATTGAGAGAGTGATGAAATAAGTAATAAATTAAAGCAAGGCAATCCTAGGAAAGTTTATAAAATACTAATAATATTTGTGAGGTTAAATAATAATAATAATAAAAAAAAGGAAAGAGGGAAAACGTAGATACAAGTCTAGTAGTTTGGAGCCGAGCCGCCGACTTGAGAAAGACAAGTACTAGTAAGTAAACACGTGTAATGCTGACGTGCCGTGCTCTCTTTGGCTGTGTCTCATGCGTTTTACGTGAGTCGACCAATCACAATTCCCCGACGGCTCTCATCTTTTTCTTTTTTTCTTTTTTTTTTTTATAATAGTATTAGTAAATAATAGTAACGCTCTCTCTCTATATCTCGTTTGCCTAATTCCCGATTAGAAATAAGTTAATGATAATAAGGGATAATACATACATATGTTCATTCTCAAGCGGAGTCAAATACACATTATTGTCAATGTCAATACAAATGGGCTAAATTTGGACAAGAAAAATCTTTGTGTACTGTATTTAAAAAAAAAAAAAAACAGAAATGACTAATAGTGTACCATCGGGCGTATCCGTCGGCAGAGCGAGAGCTGTGTGTTTCGATGGGGTCTTCCATGTTTTGTTTTCTTCTTTCTTTCTTCTTTAAAATTTTTTGAAATGTCAAATTACATATTATTGCAAGAAGAGGGAGAAAAGTAAGCGCAAATCAATGAGAGAGAGAGAGAGAGATAAAAAAATAAAAATAATAGTCCCACGAGAATTGTTAGCGGCTATTTTTGAATCTTCCTTTCTCCCCGATATTTTTTTCGTGTTATGTTATGCACCACACCGTACCGTACCACTAAAATTAAATATGAAGGGGGCGGATTTTTTTAGATGATATCTAAGATATTATTATGCATTAACAAGACATAGATAAGTGCAAGGAACCAAGCTTAAAACCATACAAAAAGAACAAAAATATATCAAAATTTGAAATTTGGAGCCGCCCACATACATACTTTTGCCCAACGTTAGCGGGAAAAACAAAAAATCAATTCAATTTTGTCACGTACGTACTGACCTCCACCCGCTTCGCCGTCGTAGACTTCTTAATCTTACACTCAATATCTCTCACCTTGCCAAATGTCTATTTAAAACCAACTACTATATGTTTTCTGTTCATAAGAATAGCACATCCAAACGAGTTAAAGGAATCTAATGCCATGATTGTTTTGTTGTTTTTAAATGAATTTTAACTTTTACTAAGTATCATAGTTTGCGTATAAAAACGCTGCCAACAAATAAAGTGTTGATTTTTGGCAATTTTCCTATATAAACTATGGTCTATATGTATCATGTATCTAAGTACAACCTTCGTTTAGAAGTGGGCCTTAGAGAATCGAACACTCAAATGTCATTTTTCTCTCTTTTGTTTTTCGTTTCATTTGGGCTTATTAAATTTGGTCCAAAGTGAAAAGCCCACAATAACAACTACACTTGGAACTTTCACATCTCCAACCAAAACTCTCTCATGCTCGACATATATGTTTGCGACTCACACAAACAAACTGTGTCATTGTTTTGTTCTTTGTGTCTCATATGACATATGGTCTGATCATTAAACTGGACCCGAAGCGAAACATATGCATGTCCGTCTCTAGTCTGGTTTGTTGTCTACTCCAAACGGCATTTTCAGTCTTTTCTTTTTTAAGAAATGCCTTCCACCTTTTATTTTCCTCTTGGCTGCCACTTTTGCTTATCATCTAGATTGCTGCTATTAGTCAAAACCGTCAAAGAAGTGGGCTTGTTTCCCCAATACCATCTAACGAGAAAAAAAAAGGGGGGGGGGGAGGAGAGTACTCTTATGTGTGATGCCGTAACCCCTAACTCGTCGTGAGATAATGGACAATACAGTTACAACTTACAAGATTGTCTTTTCTTTTATGCTGCGACACTACAAATATTTTTTTTTCAAATAAAATAATAATAATAAGGTCTGGACTGCGTCGATGTTGTGGACCTAATAAGGCTTCTGTTTTGTCTCCTTGAAATGCAATGATGCAATTGCAAATTGTCTCTCAGACGTGTCGCTACCTTGTTGGTTCATAAATAACATTCCCATGGCCCCATATTTTAAAGTTGCTGCTTTTACCACCATCCGTCTCCAAGATCCTTTCTACGTGCAATAACATCAAACTTCTTGACCCAACAAAAGAAAAAGAAAGAGAAATTTGGAAGACAAAGTGCGAGGTGGTACGGAGGAGGAACGAATCAGTTGGCTTTAGCCGTTTAGGGTTTGATATTTGATGGGATTAATTCAATTATTTTGTGTTGTAAGTTGTAAATTACATACTATATATATATAATGCATGATTTCACTTCACACAGTCTTCACATCCCCCATGCACACTTTTAACCCCAATGACTAATTATTAGCTCGTTTTCCGATTCGTTTTGCATCATGGCATTGGCATTCTTGAGGTGACATAAGTTGAATAATGAAAAAGAAAGCGTAAGGAATAAATTGAGAAAGAAGACTTCTTTAGGTCCCAAACATAAACACCTGCAGAAAATGAAGACGCAGACCAATTTTTATACCTTTTTCTGTTCCTCCCACTCACCCCTCATAATCTGCAGAATCTACCCTGTCTGTGTCTGTCTCTCTCTCTCTACCATATGGATCCAAATACGTACACACATTAAAAACAAAAGCCCCGTGAGATGTGGCTAAACAATGCACACAGTAATTACCATGCAAAAACTGTATGTATGGGTAAGAAACAGTTTTGGAGAAAAAATTTATTAAGAGAAAAAGACACTAATGTAAATAATATAATGACGTTGCAGTGAGAATGAGACTATGAGCGTACAAATCCATGTGAATATTTTGGTTTTGCAGTAGTATCATATATGTATATCTGTGACTGTAACTGTACTGACATCAATAATAAAATTGGCTTAAATTGAAACACTTGTTGTCACAATTGTCACAAGGGTAGAGATATCATATTGCCGAACAATAGTCGCAGGCGGTACACTTGTGCCTATTGTGTCTAATTTTTTTTGTCCGAAGGCACAAGAAAGAAATGTTAATACACGATGTCTTCATAACCCATATTCCAAAATAGAGTAACTAGTAGTCGACTAATTAATGTTTTGATTAAACATCAACAAAATAAAATAAATAAATAAAAGTAATGTGAAAAGCTGATAAGAACCAGGCTAAGCTTAGCGATCACAGTTGAAAACTGCCAGCTGGGAAGCTGTTGATGTGAACTTTTACAGAGACAGCTTCGTTGACTTTTTTTTTTACAGTTGAAAATTGGAGTATATTACAAAATATTCAAATAAATATGCTAATAACCAAGAGAACTTCTTTTCTAGATAAACTGAAAGTATAATAATAAAAAGAGATCAGGTAACAAATTGATGAGTTTCAAGGAACACATTATCTCTGGTTATTTACTTCTGATAACGAAGATACTAGTACTTTGTTATAATCTCCTCCTCAGAAGATTGATGTTTAAACCCTAATTAATTAATTCTAACGTAAGAAGAATCTTTAAAAAAAAAAAAAAAAAAGTTTTGAATAGCTTTTACTCTGTGTTGGGAATTTTAAGATCTTGGGTTGGAGAAGAAGTGCGTACCAGTCATGAAAGTGTTGATGGGAGTAGGGTAATTAAGAGAGGCAGGCTCGATGTAGTGATCTGATGTGGATCCAACGACTCCATTGTTACAGCTCACGTTCGGGCTTGATGAAGAGGCTGCGGTTATGAGATTCAACGGCTGAGATCCACCGCCTGAGGAGCTTCTCTCGGCCGGACCTTGGTCGTAGAGAATGCCTTTGAAGACGTGACCGCCTATACTCACAGCTGTTTTGTACGCATACTCCTCTTCTTCATCATCTATGGAACTCACACGCACGCACCGGAACACTGCCGGCGAGCTTACTTCCGGCGGAAAGCTCCCAATCTCTAACCCTAGGCCCAACAATTAACGCAAAAATGGAGTAAGTATAAAATACACCGACCATTTCTTATGTACGATTATTTGTTCGGTTTGTCTTCCTTCTAAATAAAAAGGTTGAGGTTATTAATTACTGGATACTCCTATTATATACCACACATCTCTTCAATATCGATGGAAAACAGTTTCTTCCTGTCAATCCAAGAGTCAGTTTACTCACATACAGTATTTCCATAATATAAATAAATTAAACCAAAAATTAAATTAAATTATAAACTTTTTTTCTTCTCGAAAATGGAAAAAGAAGGAGAAAAAAAGCTGATCAAGAGAATAGGGTTTCTGTTGCGGCAAAGGTCTCTCACTATTACGTTCAGATTTGAAAACTAAGAGACATAATAAAAACATAAAAAAAAAAAAAAAAAGAGAAACCTGAGGTGTTGATAGCCGCTACACGAGTGCAAACAAGCGAGTTCGATCTCGCCGGGAAATGCTCTCTCTGCCGCTTAGGGACGCTCTCACCCTGCGCCTGCGTCTGCGGTTCTTGACCGGAAGTAAGCTGCTGCTGACGTTCTCGGCGTTTAGCGGCGGGAACCCACGTGCTCTTCACGTGAGTTGAACACTCGAGCCCTCGGCTCTTGCAACAAGTCCTACACCGCATGTGAGCGCAATCTTTCTTTGCTTGATTGCCACAATCCTGGCAGCTCGGTCCACCGCCGCTGTTACCGCTTCTCATCATCATCAACGCCCCGCCGGAAGTTTCAATTAAGCTCCGGTTGCTTGGTCCGACACCTAGACCTGCGGCAGAGGTGTAAAGATCCAGCCTTTGTTGTTGTTGCTGCTGGAATATGATCTCTTGATTGTTTGGGTGTTGCCATAGCTCAAGGGTTCCTTTGTAAGAAGGAGCGACATCTCCACCCCCATCGTTGGCGTTGGCGTTTGAGTTAGGGTTTCTGCACCAAAGCCAAGATTCTGTTCCCGAGGGAGAAGGGTTACTAGTGTTGGTTCTGCGGTGGTGGTGGTCGTCTTGGCTGTCTCCTCTTCCTCCGTCTCCTCCGGCGTGTCCTAGCGAGAAAAAGCCTGCCATAATCCGACACCACCAGCCATATATTACCAATTTCGACAAGGGCTTTGGTTTACCACCTACCTAGACAGCAAAGATCTAGACTTTAAGAGAGTGAGAATCTACAAGAAGATCTGAATCTAGGAGAAGAAATATCTCTTTCGCTCTCTGTGAGGGGATGAAGAAGACGAAAGAGATTAAAAGGAAGGGATACTATAGTAGAGTAAAAGTCTTTAGGGTTTGTATAGAGAAATCAAACAGAGAGAGAGAGAGAGCTTTTGGTACTGAGAGTAAAGTTGGTTTGTCGGTATATATGAGAGAGAGAGAGGGAGAGAGGTATTGTATTGTATATATTTAAGGGCTTCTCGCTCTGAGCCTGAGTCTGAGAAATCTATCAGAGAGGTTTCTTTCTCTGTCTCTCGGGGCTCTGCAACGCCGCCATGACCTTAATACTCACTTCTCTCCCTCTCTTATTAAATTCTCTGTCCCCTCTCAGCCACTCTCTCTCTCTTTCTATCTCTTCTTTTTTGTTTGTTTTTTCCTATACACATATCTATCACAAAACACTTGTCGGACGAAATGAATATAGACATCTCACCGTTGAACATCACGTGTCCACGATCCTTCGGTGAATATTTTGCCACGTACGCAACCTTCGGCTTTTACTCTCTCCGTCTTTTCTACCGGAAAACACGCTGCCTCTTCCTTTCTTTGTCTCTTTCTGTTTTACCAAAAATATGCTGTTGAAAAACCAAATCTATTCTTTATATTATTATTTCTTCTTATTCGAAATCATAACTTATTAGTTTATAAGAAATCTATAATTATGTAATACCGATCGGAAAACAAATTGTGTGTAAGTAAACTGAAATCTATATAAATAAAAAATAAATAAAAATCTAACTTCAATTATGGGTGTGTAGTTGAAGGGCTGAGGAGAGAAACACCAATTATCGGAATAGTTGTAACTTTTTAGATTCTCTAGTTGGATTCGATGTAACTTTTAAGAAATATTATTATCGAAATCTTGTTTTTGGTTGCATATAATATTAGTCTAGTGTACCTGTTACTTCAAACTTAATAAGTGCATAAAGGTTGCAGCTGGAAAACAGATGCTTATCCATGTTTCCAAGGAACCAAGCTACTACTCTATTAAACTAGTACGTAGTAAGTAAGTATTTGTTAATACAATACAATAACTGATTATGAACACCTGTTACGCTCTCCATTATCTGTGTACATAAAAATAACACTTCAAAATGTTTATCTATACGAAGCAATACTCTGAGATATCGTAGTGTAAATTTTGGATGTTTTAATGGTATTTCTAATTCTTGTTGTATGCATTATGCAATATAATATGCAAGTGTAAATTGTAATGAGTGAATGATGTTTGAGGGGATGAAAATGAGATTGAATTTGATGAGTAGATGCAATCATTTACGACCGAGAAATTAAAAGAGAGGGAGTGTGGGCAAAAGCGAAAGTGACATTCTCTCGGATTTTATTCTTGTGCACAACTAAATTACAAATCCATAAATTCCAAATGTATTGGTAATAATATCGATTATCTATGCAATAATAGCAATAAATTACTCGCATAGTGAAAGACTCGTCATCATTAACCATAAAAATTAGTCCACTGCAAGCTAGTAGTATATTAGTTTATTTATTTATTTTGGAATGTGAATCTTGAAATAGCACAATTAGAGATGAGCTTTCCCCAAAAAGAAAAGGTTTATCTAAAGTCTCTTCTCGAGCACTGTGTCCCTTTCTTTAAGCTTTGAATCGCATAATTTAAACAAATTTTGTGAAAGTTCCTAAAACATTTTTAAAACTAATATCCGCTATCATGCCTTAGCATTTTAGCAATTTACAAAAGTTTGTGGAAAATTCATCTACTTTCTTACTCCTCTGCCAGATATCTGCACTTCAAAACGCATCTACCATTCTACTTGACCCGGAGCTCTAAAATGTATATTGTGCCCATGAGAGCAATGATAAAAGGAAGGACATATGGAAAGAACTTTACTAAACTCGAGAATAAAGAAAAGTGAGTTTGGAGCATAGTGTTTGTTGGCTTCTTAATATTATTTCTATAACTATAAAGGTGACATCTTCATATATACATAGGTAGAAAGAGAAGAGTGTTTGCTTACTACAAAAAAGGGTACGCACCGGTTTGGTTTTTACGTTCACCCTCACCCATATATCCATTTCTCTCGTGTACGTTCCTTTTCTCTTCGATCGGCTTTGGAATGGAAAAAGAAGGACACTGCACTAAAGATTTGATTGGGTCATATATATGTTTCTTTTGTTTCAATGGCAAAAAGCCAATAACGGAGCTTAGAATATCTTTACATTCTCTTCCGATTAATTCACACAAACATAATAAGCAATGAATGTCATGAGCTCTCTCGATCGTTCACATGCATGCAGGCGCGTATACTCTTTCTATGTATGTATGTATCAACTGACAACTGACTACTTCGACTTACTTTTAACCCAAAGCATGAACGTTAATTAGTTAACACACCCTAGAAACGAAGGGTGGGATCAAAGTATATATATGGAGGCTGCTCCGACAAAAATAAAATAGGACCACTGCTTTTTCACGCCTAATTTCCTTAATTTCAATATTATTATTGCATACCTTGTTAATTACTGTGAAGTTAGAAACCCTAACTATAGGGCTAGCTTTCATATTTATAACATCGCTCTTCCCAAGTTTTGTTTTGTTAATTTCCCCCATATATATATATCGAGCATGGAAAATATAAGTTGCACAAACAAACTGAATCGAATAGTGACATTTTGTGTGTAGTAATATCAGATAAGATATATATATATATATATATTATTGTTTCGAATTGGTTGTGGTTGAAGTTAATTTTCTTTAATTTTATTGTCTATTTAGTTGTAAAAGAATTCAAAAACCAATGAGTTGAATGAATCAAAGGTTTTGCATAAGGGTGATCAAAGGGGGGTTATTGGGAGAATGACTTTTAAAGATTTTTAGAGTTTAAGATTCCATTGTTATTGGTTTATGGATTCTTAGATTCTTAATGAAATCTCGAGGCCGGCTATGGAAATTGTTATATTGCAAAAAATTTCAGAAAATGATTCGATGTTCGTTATAATATTTAAACGCGAGGCCGGCTACAAAAAGTGTTATATTGCAAAATAGGATCACAATCATGTAGTTTAGTAACATCTCTTATAAGGGATAAATTTATGAATGCTCATAAAATATTACATAAAAAAAAAATAGTATCAATCAAACATTTATATATGTTTTTACCATAGGAAATTGAACTAGTCAACCATCTAAGTTTGTTTTTTTTTTTTTTTTGGGTTAAAAGATATGTAATTTAAAGCATGAGAGCAAATGTTTAACAGAGCCTAAGGCCCATATTTGGAAGCCCAATTGTTTTTAAAAAGCCCATTAAAACAATTAGGAAACCCAGTAAAAAAAATGAAGTAGAAGTTGAACCAAAAAAGAGTTGAAATTGAACCAAAGTGATGCTTGTTGGATCGAAGAACCAAACGCTCGCCAAACTCAACTCAACTCGATCGTACTTATCTTGTTTGGTTCTCCGACGAGATTCTCACTCGCAGGTTCGTGCCAACCCCGACGATGATCGCCGGAGAAGAGGGTACGAGAGGAATTTTGGAATCGATGGGAAGAAGAAGGAACATGATGGTTTGTTTCTGTGCAAGAGCAAAGGCCAGCACCTTCTTACCAACACCAGAATCCTAGACGCCATTGTCCGTAGCTCCGATGTTAGGCCGACCGATACCGTCTTGGAGATCGGACCTGGTACCGGAAATCTCACCATGAAGCTTCTTGAAGCTTCTCACAGTGTCGTCGCCGTTGAGTTAGATAAGCGTATGGTGGAGATTCTCCGCAAAAGGGTTTCCGACCATGGTTTTGCTGATAAGCTTACGGTAATAAATCATGCTAAATTTCTTTGATAATCCGTTCAGTATATGTTGGAAAGAATGGAACTTTTGTTCTTTAAAGCGCACACAACCTGTTCGATGAAATGCCGTTGAGATGATTAGGGAATTTACTTACATTCACTAAAGCCTCTTTTTTCACTTCTTCTTCTTTTGTCGTTTTTTGGATTCTCTCTTGTCTATATAGATTATTGAAAAAGACGTTCTGAAGACAGATTTCCCTCAGTTTGATCTCGTGGTTGCAAACATTCCGTACAACATATCTTCTCCTCTTGTGGCGAAGCTTGTATACGGCTCCAATACGTTTCGTAGCGCCACGCTCTTGCTTCAAAAGGAATTCTCTCGCCGGCTCCTGGCAAATCCAGGAGATTCCGATTTCAACAGGTTGGCGGTGAACGTGAAGTTGGTAGCTGATGTTAGATTCGTTATGGATGTGAGTAAAAGAGAGTTTGTTCCACCGCCTAAAGTCGATTCATCCGTAGTTATGATCACGCCAAAGGAGGTCAAACCAGATGTTAATGTTCAAGAATGGCTGGCATTCACTCGCACCTGTTTCGGGAAGAAGAATAAGACGCTTGGTTCCATGTTTAGGCAGAAGAAGAAGGTCATGGAGTTGCTGAGTTTGTCTGCAGGGAGGAATGGTTCGAATGTTGGGGTTATGAATCAGACATGTGGTGATTTTGAGAGCGATGATGAAGATGGGAGAGGTAAGGTGTTGTGTTTGGATACAGATGCAAGCATGTTCAAGGAAAGGGTGATTGGAATTCTGAGAACTAATGGGTTCGAAGAGAAGAGACCATCGAAGCTTTCTCACGGCGAGTTGTTGCATTTGCTTTCTTTGTTTAACCAAGCCGGCATTTTTTTCCATGATGTTACATCATCACCGATAATAGATCTACACGAATAATTCAGGATTTTATTTTGGTAGAACACTTTCACTTTGAATATATTTTTCTCTGAAGATGACACAGTAGTAAAAGCTACTTAATGCAGTGATTTCGGGGAAAAAAATATTAATCGTCATTATATTAGGAATGAGATATGTTCTCTGCCACCAAATCAATCATTAAGTGGGATCTTGGCGAAACAGAAATTAAAACTTGATAAAAATCTTTAGCTAAATACTGTAAAATGCGAATATTCTAACATCCAAATCTGTTCCCATTGCTAAAAGTTCAGAAGAGCGTATGTAGTATGATTTCACCGGCTTCTTGCAAAAAAAAGATGATAATTAGCTGAGAAATTTTTTCCTCTGCTAATCCAAAAAAATAGTAGAGGGAGAATTCATATCTTAGAAAAAAAAAAAAAAGTGTTTCAGTCGGATACAAGCAATAAATCGTAAAAAAAGGATTTGCTCGATCTCAGCTCAGTGCGTGATAATTAATAAAAATCCTAATAATAACCGTAATTACTATATCCTGGATATGGATATTGATGATCTCAGCTCAGTGCGTGGTAAGGTTGCATCGCCGGTGACTGAGAAAAATACTGCCAATGCTGCTGCTGAGAGTAACAATTTTCATCACTCGGGCAATAACTGTTGTATGATGGTGGCTGGCCGTAACAGGAGTTGGAGTTGTAATAAAAAAGATTGGGATAATGTAGATGATGATATCCACCACCGGCTTTCACAAACGTCATTCAGCAGCTTTGCCTTTTATCGAACCCATTAGTTTTAGCAGTTTGTTTGGGTCTCCTTCACCCGAAACGTAGGCCATTCCTTCGTCCACGTCTAACGAAAATTCCCCTCCTTAATGAATAAAACAATTAGATTTAGAAAGAACAAAACATAAAAACAATAAAACCCTACGATTTTGATGATTCTACTTCAAATTGTACAAGGATAACAAACCTTTGATATTCTTTAAGATCTTTGCCATGCTCTTCTGCCACGCAGGGGAGTTCGTGTCCACCTTGAACCCACAAGTCTGCCAAAATAGAAAGTTAGAAACGATTGAAACGTTACATCAGGAGGAGAAGATTAACAGAGGATAGTAACATGAACATACATATGGTTATGGTGAGAAACTGAAAACGAACCAGTTGAGTAGAACGATTATTTGATGAAAACATATCCGGTAGATCTTTTGGCCGACCTTGAGGAAGCTAGAAACACTGAGAAAGTTGTTCTATAAAAATTTATGCAACGTCTCGTACGTTTGGTTTATATGGTCTTTAATTGATGTCTTCTTGATACATGGAAATAAATGTGGTTTTTTGCGAAAGTGTTTCGAATAAGGAAATGGTTTCATATATGTCAAAATCTTCTCATCCCTGATATGGCATACTTTAATCCAGAGTCGTCTAATTAAGATAACGATTTTGGATAGAGAGCGTAAACTGCACTCTTTGCTCTGCATATATTTCCGATTAATGGACTATTTTAAAATTACAAGCCTGATAGCGAGGGGGACTATAAGCCCATACGGCCATAACCATGTGGAGGTATGATATTTACCGTCGCTTCAACCCAAGTGTTACAACTGATTGGTCCTACTGTCCTATGTTGAATCGGTACGTTCTGTTGTTTTTAGCTCTGATCGTCAAAACCATCAAGGCACCTTAGATGAAACAGTCTAGTATGTATGTATTATCAAAGAATAATTCATAGTATTGGGCGTGAAAACAAATGTGCGTTGAGTCTAAGAAATACTAGTGAAAGGAAAAAGAAAGATCTAATCTTCTTTTCTTGGAGGTTGTTTAAGCAATTTCAGAACGTTTTCATAGACGATGAATGTGATGGAAGAAGCAGGAACATTTTTCAAAAGATTAGCAGTTAGTCCTCTATAGAAACCTCTGAGACCTTCGAATCTGCAGAAACCCCAAGTGTTAGTCAGTGACACTAACCAAATACATCTTTGTTTTAAAGACATAATCGAGACCACGAAAATATGCCCTAACCAACCTCGCGGCTTCTCTGATAACATGTAAGCTGTCTATATATCTTGGAACTCCGTTAGTACTAGGTCGTTGCTGAACAAGAAACAAGTCATGTTTATGAAATCCGCAAATATTGAACGAGATCACATGCAGGTTATATGGAAGTTCTAGGAAATTAGATTTGAGCTAATAATAAGATCAAAGACACGATCAATAGGTTACCTGTAATCGTGCTCGAATAACCTGAAATGGATATGTAAGAAGAACTGCAGCGACTTTGGAGGAGCCGCCAAGTGCAGCATAATCTGCTGAGTTCTAAAGAAAAAAAAATGAAAGTGTGGCATGTTAGAATTAGTATATTTCTGATGGTGAAATGGGTGCGGGATTGAGATTAATATTCCTATATAACCGAATAGCTGGAAGTTATAAAAAAAGAGGAACTCTGTACCAATAAATTGTCAGCGGATTCCGACTTTCTTCTCTTTTCTTTCAAATCCACAATGATTTTGCGGAGCTCCTCATATGCCGTGAACTGAATAGCACCATGAGAAACCTGCTGAACACAGAATGCAAATCATTCAATCTGTAATACCTTTCTCGTAACTAATACTCATCATCTTAAACAGTTCCAAATCTGTGGATCTTGTGGTAGTTTCACAATGAACATGACAAGAGAGATCAGGATAGTTACTAACCAGTACCAGACCAGGGACAATACCCTTGTAGAGCGCCCTGGGTCCTTCCTCTTTCACTATGGTTCTAAAGGCATCTGAAGTTAACAAAAGGAACATTTAGAAGAAAACACCAGAAATCATGAAAATTGAATTTGAGCAGTGCAAACCTAATAGGCCGGAGTATGGTTGGGTTTTATGAAGAGGAGTCTGAAGCTGTAATCTTGTTTTGACTAGCCAAATCGGATTTGTGCATAAACAGACCTGAGAGCATTCATAAGCTTAAGACTGAGATCGAAAAAACCAAAGGAAAAATGAGATATTTATGGTGTCTTGTTACACTCACCAAGGCCCCTGCTTCAGCAGCAGAAGCAAGGTGAAGACCAGGGCTGAGTTTCTCATCGTCCCTGCCTTTAGCGTATCTATGTTTGGCTCTTCCATAACTATAGAGAGATAATGTATCTGTTTCAGAACACTTAAACAAGATCCACTGCTAAAGAAAAAAGAAAAAAAAAAACAAGATCCATACATTCATGCTTTGTTTTGATGAGAAATCATGATGCAAGATGTGTGTCGAACAATAAAAAAAGAAAAGAAACACTCACAAAAAGAAGTATAATCCCCATGAAACAGTGGAACCGATAACAGCAGGGAAGAAGCCTGCATAAAGCCCTTTCAACCCCTACGGAAGATTTAAACAAGAATGAGCTATATCTGAGGATTTAAGGAGATAGCTCACAAAACACATACGGCAGAGATGTCACTAACAAATGGCAGCACAGAGCCACCACATTACAAAAAAGGGTCAGAGAGATTCTCCTCGCAAACCTCGAAACGGGCAATGGTGAATACAGCGTGGGCTGTGTTCTTGTACGTCGGGAGACTTGACCCTCTACCGTCGTTGACTGTTCAATCAAGTAGTAAGCAACTTTAAACGAATCGATGAGTTAAAGGATTCGAGTTTTTGGTCAGTTGCAGGAGTGAAAAACCAGACCTTGGAACCTCGTACGCACAACATCGAGAGGGTGCATAGCAGCTACGGTGGCGAATCCAGCGACGGCGCCGGCGGTGGCGTTTTCCCACTGCCATGACGCCGCCATCAACGATTCCTTAGATGCAATCCGGCCTCAGCGCTATTGCGATTACAGAGCTAATGGAGAGTAAAATACGCGACAGGGAAGTTGATGAAAGATTCGCCGTCCTCCCTCCGGTACAGAACGATCTCCGACTCCGAGTTCGTTTCCCATTCAACTTCAAGATGTGTGTGTGCCCGTTCCAACACGACACCGTTTTAGGAAATCGGAAGCTATAACCCAAATCAGAAGATAATTAAATGTCCGAGGCCCAATACTTTCTAACGATACTTTCAAACAAACTTTTAAACTTCCGCCCTATACTTTCAGCTATTCCTAAAAGAACCCCAATACTTGGGAAATCACTGTAGTCTTAACTCTTAATTAATGAATTTGTTTTCGGTTGGTTGCACACTTGCACCAGCGTTGGGAATTAGAGTCTGAAAATATTGCAAATAGTAGTATGTTGATCATTTTTTTAAGAAACAAAATCAGATTTTAGTAAATATACCATACAAACTCATACAACAAACAGCCAAAGGAAATCGAAAACTCAATGATACGTCCATGCCAAACAAATGCATGAAACTGAAGTCGTTGCATATATAAAGATAGATTTGGTTAATAAGCATGGTTAACCCTCCGACATATGCGTCGGATCTCTCCCTTCACGCCAGTCAACGGAGAGATATTTCCCATCTTCACCATCGATTTGGCAAACTGTTCGAAGAAGGCCTCTTGATTCTCAGCGTATAGCTTCACAAGCTCCTTCGACTCTCTGTTCTTTGTGAACAGAATCTCATCAGAACTCAATAGACCTTTGTACATGATCAGGTTCTTGAAGTAGTGGTTGTCGAACTTGAACGGGGTCGCGAAGTCGAGGAAGAAGAGGTTCTGGTCACCCCCGGATCTCGGACATCGTTTACGCAACAGGGTTGCATAGTATTGGCTTAGAGTCAGATCAGGCTTTCCGTTGCCGGACTGGTTGTATAGCCTCTGCCGAAAACTTGTGCATCTCGAGTTTCCTATGGTGTGACTTCCTGCGAATCATTACATATGTCATATATAACGTTTTACAAGCCTTTCTGTAACTTACAACCGAAACCAGCAAAGCTAATGTAAACTATAATCTGTTGATTATGATGGATGGATATATTACCAGAGAGGGAGACAAGATCAACGAGATCGAGTCCTTGACGCTTGAACTTAGTGAGGATGGTTTGAAAAGTGTTGTTTGGAGCAGGAATGTCATTGTTGGAACCACTCAAGCTTGCTCCTCTCGCGTCTCTTCTTCCTAGAGGTACTTCCCAGCTCGGTCCGCCCGTCTGTATATATATATATATGTTCATTTAATTAATTTTTCGAATTGATGAGAATGAACATGATATAGTTTTGCGTGTGGTGAATAATAATTGTTATGACTTACGATGACAGTTGAGTCTCTAGCGGCTAGAGCCAAGATATCAGCGCAAGAAACTGTTTCAGGACACGCTTGTTCTAAGGCATATTTGATTTCCTCGATAAGTTCGAAACCACGGGCTGAGTTTCGGTTAGGATTTGATCGTTTCTCGCTGATTATGGTTCCGCTGCTGTCCAATAGTATCGAAGCATCGCATCCCTGCGGTACCAATATATACACAACGAGAAACAATATGTAAAATTGTTATAAAAAAAATTATCGTATGTTGTTAAAGCTTAATTAAGATCAAGTTTGATAAGTTTGATACCTTGACGAAACAATCGTGGAAATGGAGTCTGAGCAAGGAGGCAGGCATGCGAGGATCATTTGCGAATGCTTTAGCCACAATGGACTGAACAATCTCCTGAGCTTTAGGACAAGAGTGGTCGTAGAACTGAGGAAAGAGATATCCGCCAGTTCCATAGGATTTAGAACACAAACAAAGAGGAGATAATGCAATGAGAGAGAGAGCCATGACAAAGATGTTCAATGACTTGGCCATTTTTTGGGGGGGATTCTTTCTCTTGATGACTCTCGTTGGGTTAAATCAACTCGGTTTCTTGTGACTTGGTGATTGTGTGTGATGCAAAGGGTTTCATATATAGAGTAGACTTTGTGGAAATTTGATGGAGTTGGTAACTAATTGTAGCCGTATATTGGATTAGATGGATACATTAATTGATCTTTAAGGATTGGTATGAATACAAAATTTGTTAGACTTTTCATTAAATATTCCTCATACATGACCACTTTGTGTACTTCATATACATAAGATGTATATTTGCAATTGCTGAATGGGATTTTTTTGTTACATATTTGCATTAGCAACATAATTATTAAAACGTATATTTTTATGCTTTTAAACAATTCATTAGCGGACCTAAAGACACACCTGTTGATATTAAATCGACAGGTTAACCTGAAGAGTAAGGTACGCTAAAACAAATGCTTTTGTAGGGTTTTACTTGGTTGACCATCAACCAAAATAGTCAAAGAAATAATGCTAATTATTCTGCAAGCAAAACTTAAATAATCTGACTGATTGTGTGCTTAACAAATAGATACGGCTGATAAGAGTACGACAAAGACATAATAAAACTGTAGATAATGACAAAATCATTGAGAAACAGCTCCAACTGCTCTCTCTCTGTGACTCTCTCTCAGACACACAAAACCAAACCAATATTTTCCTTTTCTTTTCGTGCAATAATGACAAAGATGAACAAGTCGTCCACAAACAATTTGACTGCCCGACGTCGTATATTTAGACCTTTTCAATAGGTCACGTCTTTACGTTATTTATTTTACATTACGGTTTCAGAAGAAAATTTTTCATACTTCATAGGCCCGAATAAAATCTTTCCCGGCCTTGCGTAAAGCCCAATTCAATGGGGAAGCACACCGAATTCGAAAAAGGCCTAGTCCAATCTAACATACGCAAACCGTCTACACTAGCTGTCGTGTGTTGCTGCAAGTCCGCGATGCATGAGAGGTGTAATAACAAGTACACAACTAAGTTGAGATAGAGAACACATTTATAACAAGAAAGTAGATTCATAGATATGAAATTACATGATACAGACATCTCAGAACATAAAAAGAGCCAGATGCTCACTTATACTCACACTCCAACACACATCGCAGGACGTACATATATAAAAAGCACACATACAACGACCAAATGCGACTGCGTTACAAACCCTCCTTATTTTATTATTATCAACTTTGTATACAAGTAGAAAAGCTTAACGGCCACCACCACCGGGAAGCTTCTCCTTGATCTTGTCCATCATCCCCTTCTTCTCGTGGTGCTCGCCACCATAACCACCAGCATCATATCCAGTGGTGGTTCCGGTTCCCATGCCACCCATTCCCTGAGCTTGACTAGACTGATCATGATGACCTGGCAGCTTCTCCTTGATCTTTTGAGTTATTCCCTTCTTCCTCCTCCCTCCTTGTCCATCATCCTCCTATTATGTATATAACATCGAGATGATGACACATAATATAGTAATTAATATATTATAAAATTTTGTTTAGATCACACTTGGTACATACCGAGCTAGAGCTGGATCCAGATCCGGAGCGGTGAAGCATTCCTCCCAATCCACCACCACTTTCTTTGTGGAGTTGCTCTTGGCCGTGATGCCTAGCTCCTCCGCCAGTTCCAAAAGCTTCAGTTCCGGTTCCGGTCCCGTATCCTTGGCCACCAGTTCCATAGGTACCACCGGTGGCCCCTCCACCAGTCCCGTAACCTCCTCCGCCAGTGGCTCCTACACCACCGTATCCCCCACCGCCAATAGGGTTTCCATACTCGTCCAGCTGCTGGACCGGGTTTCCATACTCGTCAGTGGCCTGACCTCCTGGACGGTTCTGGTAAGACGCCATCTTCTTCTTATCTTAAAGAAAAACTTGAGCAAGCGTTGTTAGATTGAACTCTCTTTCTTTGTAATATTTAGACTTGGATGAGTTTGACTGATGAAGTTTCGTTAACGCATGGAAGGTAGTTTTATAGTCCAGTTTCGGATATGGATCAAACTACTAAAATATTGAATCATAATTTGTAAAGTGACGCGTGGCAGCAGTAGAAAATGTCGGCGTGGTGTTTGGACATACGTGTCCGTGAACAAACCGAACTGTTTTGATCACTAAAGAAATTGGGATTTTGATTTTATTTCCGAGGCTTCCATGTCGATACCAAGTACGTGTTCATTACAATCCTGTGACAGGGTGATGAATCTAGGTGGAGAGAAAGCAAAAAAAATATATATATGATATATCTGTCCTCTTCCATAATTTGTGTCGGTACTTAACAGTAAACACCAACGTAGAAACTGGACACGTAATTCTTCTCCTTGAAAACGATGCGACTTTGTTAATTGTTTCCCATACACGTATGCCACCAATCCATTCAAAGATTGGGCGAGTTCGAAGGGACTTGTATGGGCCTAAAATTTGGGCTCATTAAAATCACTTACTGTTAAGCCCATACAGAAGTAAATAGAGGCCTTACACAGCCAAAATCCAGTTAACGAAACGCCGCGTTTTGATGCATCGTTTCGTTCGATTGTGTTCGTCAGGAGTTTCTTCTTCTCTCTGCACCGGATTTCAAATCCTAAGCTCTTTCTCTTACAAAAAGAAGGATTCGAAGAATTGGGATATCTGGGTTGGATAAAACTATTAACTCCTTTGTTACAAAAAGTATGGATCCAGATGCGGTGAAGTCGACCCTTTCGAATCTGGCATTCGGGAATGTATTGGCTGCAGCTGCTAGAGATTATAAAAAGGTATTTAATTTTCATATTAACACTTTGAAAGTGTTCGCCATAGATTCTTAGATCTCGATTTCTCGCTTTTGGGTGAGCCCCAATTAACAACAGATAAGGAGATGAATATTGGAGTGCTTAGCTCTGGGTGTCAGAGGATATATCATAAGCTTTGCGAATTTATCCATTTTAGGACATTTCTTTTGGTTGGGTGTGTTCATAGCGCAAATGATGATGAATGGAAACAATTTGTATCATTCATGGCTGTGCAGGAAGTTCTTGCCAATGAGAAGGCGCAAGGATCAAGACCTGCCAACGAGGAGGTTGATCTTGACGAATTGATGGATGTAAGTGCAATCAATGAGACATTGCTTCTCTTCTTTCTCTATGGGAGACTGACTTTCTCATGTTGTGTAGGATCCAGAGCTAGAAAGATTGCACGCCGATAGGATTGCAGCACTCAAGGTTCATATCTGTGTCCCTTGTCTTGTTAGTTTAACTCTTCTAACTTCATTAGTATGAACTATGGACTAACCCCAAGACATCTCTTGGACAGAGAGAAGTGGAAAAGAGAGAAGCATTCAAAAGACAAGGGCATGGTGAATACCGAGAAGTTAGCGAAGGCGACTTCTTGGGAGAAGTCACAAGGAGTGACAAAGTCATTTGTCACTTCTACCACAAGGAATTCTACCGTTGCAAGTACGATGCGTCTCACTCACATCACTTTCTTTTTGTTCTTTGATATGTGAATATTAAGAACTGAAGCTTTGCACTTCAACAATGTAGGATAATGGACAAGCATCTGAAGACCCTTGCACCTAGACATGTGGACACAAAATTCATTAAGATGGACGCAGAGGTCAGTAATCCACCTGATTAACATTTCTTTGCAACTCTTCTTTGTGGGTGTTAGCTCTTCTAATTCTTGGGAGAGACTATCAATGTAGAACGCTCCCTTCTTCGTCACCAAGCTTGCAATCAAGACTTTGCCCTGTGTTATCCTATTTAGGTCAATCTTACACTTTCACTCATTCCTTATTCTTTTACTCAATTGGGTCCTTTGGAGTTTAAATTAGTGAAAACACGGAAACTGAAATCATTATTCTCCAGCAAGGGGATCGCCATGGATAGGCTTGTTGGGTTTCAAGATCTAGGTGCCAAGGACGATTTCTCCACGACGAAGCTGGAGAACCTTCTGGTTAGAAAAGGTAGAACCTTCTCTCAAATTCTGGGCTTTTGCTGCTTATCATTTGCAGCTTTGATCATTGAATCAACCTTTTTTTTTTAATTTTCTTTTCACAGGAATGCTTAGCGAGAAGAAAAAAGAGGAAGATGAGGAAGACTACGAGTATCAAGAAAGCATACGTCGGTCCGTTAGGTCTTCGGCAAATGTCAACTCTGATTCTGATTGATCTCAATGCTGATCTCATTGCATATCTCCAAGCCGTTTTTGTATTTGTTTTTGCCGCTGCTTTGTTTGTATTGTTTGGTCTATGAATCGTAAGGTTTTATTTATAATGGGGAAACTCGTTCTATATTTTCTCAAAAGTTATTGTCAAACAGACAAAAAATACTAATCACGTTCCATGTGAAAACATTGAATTTTATTGATAAGAAAACGTCAACTAGGCGGCAAGCAATGAACAGAGACTCTGCAGTCATGAACAGAAACAAACCATAATAGAAAGCAAAACAACAAACGGAAACATTTGTCACACCACAAAACGTGCCATATACAAGAAGCATCAAAAGGAAAAGGTTTGTAAGTGAGCTCACTATACTTCACTTGATCGCTATGGATTTGTATTTTTGAACAGTGCTTGTTATAGCTTGTTCTACAGGTAGCCTTTCCATGCTTGATGCTCCATAGAAGCCATGGACACAACCCTGTGTTCTCTTTAATACAAACTCTGCCTCTTCTGGACCCGATATTGGACCTATATACAAAAAGCTTACTACAACAAAACTTTTATCAAACGTTGACTGTAGGATTCGAGAAGTTACTATACCTCCGTGGCAGAGGACAATGATGTCTGGGTTGAATCTACGAGCAGCATCTGCAATAGCTTGTACACGAACAACACTTTCTTCCATTGACACTGCGGTTTTGGCCCCAATATTTCCAGATGTCGTAAGACCCATGTGTGCTACTATAATATCAGCTCCCGCTTTTGCCATTTCTTCTCCTTCTTTGGGGTTGAAAGCATATGGAGTGGTCAATAGCCCCATTTTATGTGCTTCTGATATCATTTGAACTTCTAGGCTGCAGTATCGGACTACTTTGAGTAGAAATATAAACAAGCCATAAAAAAAATGATTCGACAAAAGGGATGCTTTTTGTAGCTTACCCATATCCCATTCCTGTCTCCTCAAGATTTTGTCTAAAGTTACCATCAAAGAGACCAACAGTTGGAAAGTTCTGGACACCAACGAACCCAATGGACTCCAACTGCTTAAGAAAATAGTCCATACGTCGAAATGGATCTGTTGCGCACACCCCAGCAAGAACAGGCACCGACTTCACTACCTGCAAGTTGGATTTGTCATATGAAGAGACAGATCTTAGCGATGAGTAACTAACAGAAGCAACTGGAACGAGATGCGAGTTTCTTGGGTAAATGAATAAAGATTCTAACGGGTAAAACTTCATTCGCCATTTCAAGCACGACCGCATTGGCATCAGCAAATGGAAGCAAGCCTGCTAAGGATCCTCTTCCAGCCATCCGAAAACGTCCAGAGTTGTATATCACTATCAAATCAATCCCACCAGCTTCCTCAAACTTTGCAGATATTCCCGTACCAGCACCGCCCCCAATTATTGGTATTTCCCTCTCTATTTGATCTCTCAAGCGTCCCAAAATGGTCTGAGTTCGTTCCAAGGTTTCTGGATCCAGTTGATAAGTAAGTTTTCCAATTCCAACATGTAAGTTCCGTATCAAAATGACCAGAACCACCAACTGATCTGGTCGTTAGTTAATTGATCATTATGATTGGGAAGGACAAGAGAGACCTGGTTTTGCATTGGGGAAATCTGTAGGACTGTATGGAATCCTTTCAGGCCTCAACCCCGTCTTAGATATGTGTCCATCATCATGCTCTCCAGTACTAGGTTTAGTCGAAGCCGTTTCAGAGGGTTTGACTTGTGAGTAGGTTTTAGGACATATCTCAAGAAATGAAGCAACCAATGCCTCTGCAAACTCAGGGTCATTGATGTGGTGTGGATACATATTGACCTGTCAAAATACACAACATTATTCAATACCTAAAAGTAGATGAAGCAAAACAAACCACTAGTGCACGGGAAATAAGGAAATAAATACCTGTCTGTCTTCATTTGTTTGAATGAGCTTCTGCAATTCATTTATGAGAGCGCCAGTAGCTTCTGGATCACAGAAAGGTTTACCTGGGGCATCGAGTGCAGAGACACCTTTCTCTGGGAGACAAACCCTCACTTTTGATGTTGATTTGTTTAATTTATCTGCAATAAACCTTGCAAAGATTTTATTCTCTTCTGCTGTTGTTCGAATAAGAGAAACCTGCCAAGAAAAAACAGATAACTCAAACAGATGCTACTAGAATTAACATGATAACATTTTTTCTGACAGATTGCTCACCTGTTCATTGTGAACGTGAATATTTCTCGTTTGGAAATGAGAAGGAATAGTATCTTTACCACCAAAGTTCACCATATCTAAGGCTCCTACACTTAAAACCAACGGTATTCCTTTTTCTATGGTAATATCAAAACGGGAACTATCGCATGCCATCACCCCTCCAACTACATGGTCTGCAACCTCAGTTGTTGTAATATCCATTACTCCCTACGAAAGGAACAGGTAAAAGAAACCAATGCCACAGACAAATTTTTAAAACAAAGTAAATTAGTGGTACAAGAAAACAAAATCAGGGCGAATGGGGAAGAAGAGAAAACCTGTATAAACCCTTCTTTAACCAAAGATTCCATTGCTCTGCCACCGACACCCGTGGCATGAAACACAAGTGTCTCAAAACCTTCACTTGTTAATCTTTCCTGGACTGCATTTACACATGAAGTTGTCACCCCGAACATGGTAATGCCCACAGTACATTTCCCGTTCTCGCTTGGGGAGCTTCTAAGCATCTGAAGCCTCCCGACTACCATGCCCGCAAAAGAAGCCCCAGCGTTTGAAAAGACTATCCTGCTAACACTGTTGATACCACAGACATCTACTACAGAAGGAATCAAAACCAAATCTGAGGTCCCAACATAAGGTTCGGTTAGACCGCTGGCGACAGTGGATACAATGACCTTGGGAATCCCGATGGGGAGAGACCTAAAGGCGGAGGATATCAGAGAGGTTCCTCCGCTTCCGCCAAGGCCTATAGCCCCAGCAAGTGAATTATCCTCAAACGCTTGCCTAAGAAAATTGTCAAGACATTTGCTCATGATACCAACAGCCTCCCCCCTATCATCCGGAAGCTTCAGAGGTTTTTTCTCCTGCTTCGATCCAACATAGCACGAGAGAACTTGTTCTCTAGTTACAAATGCAAAGTCTTGTGCAACATTCTGGATACGCTTATCATCAGTACCCGCCGAAACATCCACAATCACAACCTCAACCTGTTGTTATTCCAATCAAACCGCTCAGATACACCAAACCATTTCCCAATTCTCCAGCTGAACCCCAAAATTGAGACTATGACACTAAATCATTCATCTGATTCTTAAAAACTCAAGTTTCTGCACTAAATCTTACCTTGGAAGATGAGAATGCGGCGATATTTGATCGCACTGATCCAGCAAGGAATCGTAGCTCGTCAAGCTTGGTATCGACGGTTCCCACACAAAAGACTCGATAAGTTTCGCTTCCCATTTCCACAGCTCAAAATCCTCCGATCCCGTTTTGTGATCTTTTGACTTCGTTGCGACAGTGTACTCTGCTGTTCTATATTGTCGGTTCGGTTTGAGAGTCTTCCATATTGCATATTTTCCCCCAAGTTTCGATTATTAAGTTCATCGGCCTAACGTCCTATTTTATAACACATTCACCTTATAAAATTTGTTTCTTTCCGAAAATTCCTTGTATTTTTTTCTTATTGCAGAAAGCTCTACTTTTTTTTTTGTTTACTATAAAAAAAAAAACAAACAAACAAACAAATGTTTGTGTATTTACAAAATACCCCTGTAGTTTTGTTTATTATTGAACGGCCCTAGAGTTGTATGTTAAGACAAGATGCTGGGTGGAGTTTGATCGGACCAAATACATGGGGTTTCTAAATGATTAAAAAAAAATTATTTCTTTTTTGATCAAAAAAATAAATTATATCAATTTAAAATTTTTGATTGGTATAGTGGTTGTGTAATCCTTTGCTATATATATTACATATCTGAGGTTCGAATCCTCTTTTGGTACTTTATATAATTTGAGTTCTTTTATTTAGCAAAATATTTTTTTTATATCTAGTTTATTTGTTGGTTATTCCAAAAAAACTTTGAAAAATCAATAAATTAAGTGTAAATACATTTAGAAAAGTTAATTTTCATAAGTACTAGAATATTTTGCATTTTATCAATATATTTAATGCCTTCAAACATTAAAATATTTTAATACAACAAAATATTTTAGGCCACTTTAAACATAAGACTGATCCTTTGACTTCTTCAAAGAACAATATATCTCATATTGTTGAATGTCATTTTTATAAGATAATCAATATAAATTCTTTAAAATGCATCACTCACAAATTTGTACAAAACTATTGTTGTATCTTCATGCATATTATTTGTCCCAATCAAGATTACAAGTAACCGATCTCTTTGAATCATGATTTAAACTTACAATTCAAGCGACAACATTAGATAAAACTCAAACTTATTTAGTTTCTATTCTATAGGATATCAAACTACTGCTTACTTTGGATGCCGAGACATAGGGTTTGATCATTATGCCCTTTTAAAAAAAACAATTATTACTTCTTTACGTAATGGAACAAAAGTTAAATTTAAGAAATAATCATCTATTAGATTTTGTGCTTTTTTATTATTTTAGATTGTGGGAATTGGAAGGATCCAAGAGGATGACTGAAAGTCTGAAATATCAGTTTTTGTTACAATTTGAAATTACATCTTTAATATACATTAGTACACTTTTCCTAGCTGAATTTAGCTAACATACACATACGATCAATCAACAACACGACAAGGGGAGTACTATGGGCCATTTCGAACTATTCAATATCACGACATAACATTTCTATGCTCTTTATGAAGTTCCAACTTAGCCCATATAACTAAAGACGGCAGGGTCTCATATCCAGTAACAACAAAAGCTTTTACTCCTAAATAAATCACAATGAACTGGGCTTCGGGCCACGCTTTACATGACTATTATTACATCAGTGGTAACGTTATAAAACGTTTGGATAATCCGAAACAGGTGAAGCATTTGGTTAAACAGTTTCTACATTTTCAAGCTTATCACCATAGCTATATACAAAAATTTAAAATTCTTTCAACAATGTAGTTTACATGAAATCTTAATAGTTTTGTTGTATGCATGAAAAAGGTTGTCAACGTCAATTATGCGAGACTATCGTACGCTTAGTCAAGGTATAAATATTAAGATGAAACAAAAAAGTCGTGGGTACACGATGTCATTTCCAATCAATTTATTGTCTTTTTATGTCACTTAAGAAAAAAAAGTAAAACTTTTAATCAACCCTATTACCCTATGTATGAAGCATTTCGATATACTCTTTAAGTAGTAAGTAAACACTAATTTTAATTTTTTATTGTTAAAATCTGTCATAAGTGTATGATCGGAGATGACATTGGTTTTTATTGTGGTTCTAAAGCTGTTTTCTCATCAAACGCTAGGGAAATTTTTTAAAAAAGTGTAACAGTATAAAAGTTAATTTCGGCAACGAAACAATGTGAGGGCAGGGTCCGATATGAGGCACATTGGCGTTTAAACACGTTGCAGATGTTAAATGATGATACTGCAAAAATTAGGGAAGCAAGTAAAGTCTACCCTATATAAATGGATATTTGATATAAAGCATTATATCATTTTGGTCGACCATTGATGTATATAATATAGCAAAATTTAAAATATAATCCGTATATATGATATAATTTACGTCGACATCCATATCTGACCTTTTTCCCCTCATGCATTGTCGTATATGGTAAAGGATATAAATTAATCATTCATGTCATGTCTATATAGTTTAGGGTAATTGATATTTATCTTACAAATTTGAGAATAGTTGAAGAATGATCAGCACTGGCGAGTCAAATTTAACTCGTTGAAAATATATAAATCGAAAAGAATGAAGTAGGAATATATCTTAGAATAAAACAGTTTTTAGAAAGAAAAAATAAATTAAAATTGTGGATGATCGTAGGAACAGAATCTGCTAGCATTTGATGAGTGAATTTAAGAATGTTAGTTGTAGTAAATATCCTTATACGTTGTTGTATTTAATGTGTTCAATAGTACGTATCTCAAAATGTAATTACAAACACTGTGCATGCTAGCTGCGTTAAAAATAAGGGCCAAGTGATGGTAAAAGTGGCTGTAATGACAAAATCCAACAACACCAATAACAAAACAGCCGCTCGTGGTGGAAACTATCATGATTGCTCTCTTGTTAAAGTCTTAAAGAGTCCCTCAAAAGAAATAATATAAATGCAACAATCAATAAACCCAACAAAATTTCTTATAAAATACTACTCCAGTTTTATGCAAAAGATGGATCGGCTCAACCAAATCTCCATCGTATATATCAAAAGAAGGGTAAAAGAACCGACTTTTTTTTATTTATATATATTTTGGCTGAGCAGAGATTACGGGACTTTTAGTGAAAAAATAAAGTCGCTTTTTTTTCATTCTTCTTAATTATGGTCTGCGTGGGTGTCTGTCTGCATAAAAGTTCACATTTTTATACTTTTTTTTTGCCAATTTTCAAAATTATTACATGATCATTGGTGCCAATACCCATCAGAAAGACTGAAAGAGAAACACGGCCGCTTCAGCTAATTAATTAATACTATTCCTTTCTTTATTGAAACTTTTCTTCTGATCTTCTTCTTCTAATCTTATAGCCGAAGGCTACGAGATGATCACTGAGATGACTTACTAGACCATCAATCATTCATTCCCATGAAGCTTTAGAAAAATGAAGCTTCCTAATTCCTTCATATTTTATATAACAGTTAAAGATTTAAGTACCTTTTTCTCAATTGTCTCCAATAGTCCAGTCCCATTATAAACTTTCACTGATACAAATATCATTTTAACTTTTCATATATATATAATATTTTGTTTTTTCATTGGTGTACATAAAAGTACCACACCATGCATGTGTATTGATCTGTACATGCATGTATGTGTCTACAGTCTACGTTGAATTTTAGTTTGATACACGAACGGTCTCGAATTTTATCAGGATATACTGCAATAGATTTTAATTGGTGTGCAGATCTCATCTGGGCAACCAAAAAAAGGAAAAAGAAAAGAACAAATGAATCTCCACGCTTCTAAAAGCCCTTTGAGTCTGATCAGTACATGGATTTTAATTCTTTGCATGGTTAATTATTGCAGGCATGCATGACAGTTTAGTCGGTGTAAAAGTCCAAAACGCCATTATGAACGATATTCAAAGAAAGATAACATACATATAGTGAGTGATTGGCTCGTGTTTAGTTAAGACAAGCCATGCAAGTTTGAAATCAATAATTTGACGGATGATATTTTTTATATTGATTTACTTTTTGCTTTTTTTATATATATATAAAAGTAACCACAAGGGTAGGGTTTCATGGCAAGACAAAAAGACAGACCTAAATCGATCGATTGTTTCTTGGATAACACTAAAACTTGAAGATTTTTAAAAAGTTATATGGTAATGTCATAATGAATTTGCGGAGTGGGACGAGACAACATTTATACTTCAAGTTTGTATCATTAGACTTGAGGAAGTGACGCTCACTGAGACAAGTAAACTAATATTATATTTCATAATATATATCTTTCATAATAAGCAGCTAATTACTGTACATAAGAGAGATGATTAATATTTTTAAACGTACATGGAATATATTTTTCTTTAGACAAAAAAAAGAAAAGACAAGATTCCATATGGTTATAACTTTCACAAAACTTTGTTTGTTTGTTTTGTAGATGATTCGATAGAATATATGTAAGAATATATATAATGATATTTTTTTTTATATAAGAAGGCTTTTGTTATGGACAACGACCGCTAAAGATTCTTGACGACGAAACAATCTCTGTTTTGCTATGAAAGCTTCGATCGTTTTCTGAAACTCTTCGTTGCTTAGATCATCTTCTGGATAGTTGTCATCCTCGTCTCTTTGCTTCTCAATCTCCCAGATGCACTTGTCTGTCTCCGATCTCTGTAGACAACGTTTCGTATTCGGACGGCTCTGTTTTGCAGAAACGTCTGATTTGCTTCTTCCATATACTTTTTTACTGGCAGCTGCAGCATCCGAATCAACCTCGGCGTCTGGAATATTCTCTTCCGCCTTTGGATTCAAATCAGTGACGATCACCTCTTTGTCGTCGTAGACTATCTCATCCACCATGTCTTCATCGGCCGGCTTGGATCGATTCTCTACGGATCTGACGAACGCCTCGTAGATTTCTGTTTCGGGACTCGTTGCGGCGGCGGTGGTTGTTTTCTGATCGGAAGACTTGGTGAGAAGAACAAGGACGATGGAGTTGCCGAGGAGGAAGACGAACAGAGGAGTCGATACAACGGCGGCGATACGGCGGAGAAACGCTCCGGAGATTTGAACGGCGAAAGGAAGGCGAGTGAATGTCCAGAAGAGGAGGAGGAGGGCGACGCAAACCTCCGCCGCGCGGAAGAAACGTCCGATTCGCCGGAAGCGGTTGAAACGCCGCAACGCCTTGGCTTTCTCTGCTTTCACGTTGTCGAACGAATCCATTTGCGAGTTGGGAGATAGAGATAAGAAGAGTATGAAGTAAGAGCACACCACAGAGAGAGAAAGAGAGAGGTTGAAGAAAAGGGAAAGAGAGGTTGAAGAAAAAAGTGGAGCCAAGCTTCATCTCTCACAACTCTCTTTTATAGACACACTCTCATTACCACAGAGACTTCTCTCTCTCTCTCTCTCACCTTTTTTTGTTCTTGAAATAATTGAACTTTTTCCCCCCCTTTCTCTTTATTTTTCTAATATATACTGTATTATACATAACTTTTTATTATCTTATTATATAAAGAGTTATATCTAACTTAGATATATACATATATTCCAATTCTGATTCCCTATGTTATGTAAGACACCACTTGTCCCTATTGTATTATATCTATTGTTCAATATCCGAAAAAAAAATATTTATCAAAAAATTTATCAATCATAGTAACCAAATTTTGCTTATTAAACATTGAATTAGCAAATGATTCCATTTAAAAGAGAACCTGTAAAACATGTAAACTGAAAGTTATCATTGATTTTGACTATATAATTACACAGAATTTGTTTGCTATATAAGTTTAAAGTTAGAATGATTCACAAGTTTCAACTACTCATAGTTATTATATACAGCTGTTGTCAAATTTTATGAAAATGTAAATAAAAAAAAAAGAAATTGGACCGAGCAAAATTGTAAAAAAAAAAAGTGATGTAAACAGAGAGAATCAAAAGAATTTCACGTGAGGCGTATGGTATTTATGGGGCAACCATATAAACGTAAATTAAACCACCACCGCTCTTCAAAGTGTACACCGATTCGTATTTTGCCTAAACCTCTCTCTCTCT